TTTTTTTGCACCCTCAGATTCCAGATTTTCAAATAGCTGTATCTCAGCCAAATATTGTCCTATCCTAACAAACCATACATCAATGGAGAGCTTATTTAGTCAGCTTCCAGGTGCTGAATAAATCCCAATTTCGAAAAAAAATTACCCTTATGACTGGTTTTGTGGTCCAGGGTCACATATATCAGAAATAGTAGTATGCTATTCTGAATTCAGCCAGTGACTTGGTTTCAGAACTATTTTCTCATTCACTTTCTCCGGTGTTTTACTAAATATTTGAAAGGATTCTGAGCTATGAACTAATCCAAACAACTTTGAGATGAATCACATTAGAAGACTTTGTACTTTCAGGCAATGAACTACTCATTCTATGAAGCACTGGTTATAAAAAAAATAATAATACAAATGACTTTAAGCTATTGATTATACTGCAACCCATTCACATAATTGTGCAATTTATCTCATTGTCAAAAAAAATTGTCAGTGGCAAAGACAACAGCAGCTCCACTTGGATTTCGGTTGGCAAAACAGTGATCTAAATACAATTAATAAAGGCATTAATAGTCCAATGAAAGCACAGTCAAATTTTCATGTGCACACATGAAGCAGCAGTGAGACGTGACACAGAATTTATAGATGTGAGTGAAAATTGGGCTTAATTGTTTTTGTGATTTAATCTGACATAAGATATTGTGGCGTCAGAATGAACCCCAAATCCAGCACAGAGGGGATCAGTGAATGTGGTGTTGAATGTGTGTGTGTGTGTGTGTGTGTGTCAGAGACACTGTAGAAGGACAGAGAGCCGGCCGACATGTCCAGATACACTCCTACTCTATTAGACAAAGGTACAGAGATGTCAGTGCTCTCATTTTTGTGCCAGGCAGTGAATCCTTTAGCAGAGCAGTACAGACTCCAGGATTTGCCACTGTATCCAAACCAACAGTCATTCCCTCTTTCCTGTTAATTCCTTTATGTGTCACTGATATATCAACAAAGCCACTCGATTCAGACTCTCAACACACAGAACCTGCTCATGGTTATCAAACCTGTCTGTATGATCGGGATACGACTGAGGTTTTGGATCAGGATTTGACTCATCGTCTTTGACATATTCTGCCTTCCTGTTGTCCTCAGACGGGATGAGTCAAGCGTTTGCTGTGTTTGGATCCAGTGTGAGATCACAGGCATC